CCGGCGTTGTTGAGTACAAAATTTTTCAAAGTGCAGTTCAGCGTTGTGTTAATGTTTTTCGTGAAACGGGCAGTGTAACAAGAAAAGAAGGAAGCGGCCGACCTAAAAAGCGGACTGAAGAATTAAAAGAAAATGTCCAACAAATAATGGAAAATGCGCCAAGAACTTCTGTACGTGTTTTATCACAAATGGTGGGAGTATCAGTCGGTACCTGCCACACAGTGTTAAAAAAAGATTTGCGTTTGTTCTCCTATCGTTTAACTTGTCAGCAAGAACTTCATGAAGTTGATTTTCCGCGACGGGCTGTATTTTGTGAATGGTTTTTAAACAACTACGGTGAACTTCATAATATCACCTTTTTTTCTGATGAAGCCTGGTTTCATTTAAGTGGTTACGTAAACTCACAGAATATGAGAATGTGGTCTTCTGAAAAACCAGATAACTTTTTTGTCGAGGGCCCTCTACACGCTCAAAAAATTGGAGTTTGGTGTGCTCTCAATCGAAGGAGGATTTATGGACCTATTTTTTTTAATGGTACTCTTACTGCGCAAAGGTATAGAGAAGAAATTATCGCTCCTTTTGTTAACCAGCTGGAAGAAAACGAAATTACAAACTTTTACTTTCAACAAGATGGCGCAAGGGCACATACGGCAGGCGAGACGATGAATATGTTGAGGGAAGTTTTCCAAAATCGACTAATAAGTCTCAATGCTGAACATGAATTTCCACCGAGGTCATGTGATATTACGCCGTGTGATTTCTTTTTGTGGCCTTACCTTAAAAACACTATTTTTGAACTGCCTATTCCTGATTTAAACCATCTGCAGGCTCGACTTATAGACAAGATTCGTGAAATTAACAATACCCCGAGCATCTTAGAAAATGTCTTTAATTCTTTGAGGAACAGGTGTGAAAAGTGCTTGGAACAAGGAGGGGGACACTTTCAGCAGCTGCTTTAATTTATTGTTATAACAAGGAGGGGGACACTTTCCGCAGCTCCTTTAATTGTTTGTTATTGTTATCACGATTATTCTTTAAAATAAAGTTATATAGTCATTAACGTTATTGAAACTGACAGCTGCTATACAGCTCGTTGAGAAATGAGGTTAAGTTGGTCGCTATAAGCTACTCACTACGTCCAATGTGTCGACCACGTTTTTATTTGAACGCTCGATAGTAAATTTCAAAATAATTCAACATGCCCTCAATATTCGCTTTGTTTTATAGTTTGAGGTATAAATTATCTTTTAAAAATATGACTAAAATCTTTAAAAATAGTGACAGTTATTGGTACAGGTGAAAATGTATGTAGACTGTACAAGAAAAAAATAAACCTTTTTCCAATAAACTCATAAAAATATGGGACTTGTAATGGGGTGTTTGCATAAAAAACCTAGTGCTTTGTCATTGAATACTATACAATGAAATGTATGTATAGTTGCAAATGCAGTTTCGCAAAAAAAAATTCTTATACAAATTTCTATTTGATTTTAAAAATGTTAATTCGAACCGAATACCGTACACACAACTTCTGACGTAGGTACTAGACTATGGACACGTCATTATAGAAAACTTCTTATTTACATAACATTTTTTGATAAGCTAATTAAGAGAGGCGCGCATTTGGTCGGAATTTTGGCAGCAGACCATAACGCTACAGACAGGCTCGCAATGTTTACAAATTTTATGTTACCTACAATTTTAAATTATATTTTATTTTTCTTCGCACAGTGAGGTCACTATTATTTTTCTAGCATATATTTTCGATGTAATGAAGAGATTGACCGTTGACCGTCAAGTCTGCACTTCGCCACATGTGCTGCATTCAATAACTTTATCAATCCTTTTTTCAAGTATTCGGCTAAACAACTGACCATTTACATATTGTCGTCACATATAAACAAAAAAGATGTACTCACTGGTACGTTTTCATGTATTTGGTTTTTCCTTTTGTGCAGTTGCTAATAATTATACTTTTTAACATCGTGCCTTTTTGTTTGTTTCCCATTCAACCGAGCATTCAACTATTCCACGCCTTCTCCTTTTCTCCAAGCAGATATCGGCAATTCTATTCGCGTAATATGGTAAGGCTTATTAACCATGACAATCACTGCGACATTATTTAGTGGTTAGAAACGTAGATGTAAACAATTTTTCAAATACCCCACCGACTAGATATATTCCCATGAAAACTCCTGTTCATTTATACTTACGTACGTGTAAGTAAATCATTCATCACAAAAAAATCCTAATTCGCTTCTGATATGTCTTTTTCCAGAGGGTGCTTTTAATCCCTTAGAAAATATTCTTAAAAGTGTTTTTCGTCTGATGTCGATATTTAAATCTTGCCAAGCCTTAGAAACCTTATGTTCTCTTTCTATCCTTGTTTCATTGGGATATTACAATTTTGTTCTTTTCTATTAGCATACTTTTTCGATTTCGTTTAAGTAATAACAATTAATTTCATGTATAGTACAAAATAAAACTCTTTGGGACAATCTAGTCAAATCTTGGAAATGTTGGAGGTTCCATTTTTAAAATAAAATCCCTGAAAACCCCTATGAATCGCCAATTTAACGTCATTGTCAAATTGAATTTTTTTCCTGGCACGTGTTTCTATTTCTTTTGCTTTTTTACACGTTCCATGCATTTTTATTAAACAACTGCACATTTCCACGGCATGACTCACTGTCATCCGTTTTTCGGTCTCGAATTTTCTAGTAAACTTCCTTGATCTGTTAAATTCGCCTATTTATAATTACCTTTATTATATGATTTCATTTAAAAAACACATTGGATTAACTAAAAAATTAAAGTAATACAAAATTTTCCTATTTTCACGCATGTGATACGAAAGGAAACGCCTAAGTTGGAAACTGACAAATCGAAAAATAACAAGTTGTATAATATTATAAGAATTTCGTCTTAACAACGGATATTTTGTAATGTTTTATAACAATTTGTCACACTGTCATTTGCCCACGGCCAACTTGTTACAATAGGAATTTTTGAAAAACTCTTTTTGTTATTAAATGATAAATATCTCAGAAATTAATGATTTAGGTATAGGGAATGCTTTATAAAAATTAAAGAACATAAAGTGTATTTTCAGTTTTTAAAATAAAATACAGGGTGTTTCATTAAAAAAAATTGAGAAGATTATGTGCTCGCCCTATATTCAACTGTTGCAATAATAAAGAAATAGCACTTTCTCGTAAAACTGTACCAATATCAGAAAGTTTTGCCTGCAAAAAATTATAAGTTGTTCTGTTTAGGGTTTAGGGTATACAGGACGCTGAAATGGGAATGATTCTCGTATACAATTGACCATAACTTTTGAAATATCCGTATAACATAATTAAACCCTATATTGGAAGCATGGGAGAGATGTGCTTAATCTAAATTTGAAATAATATATAGGGTGTCCCAATTAAAAAATAGTATATTTGGTTCACCTTGGTAATACGTAACACTCTATATACGAAAATAATTTTAAAATGTGAAGTTTGAAGTTGGCTACAATATTTGTAAATAATTTTTTTGATATCTTCTATAATAAAGGAGATATCGTACTTCGACGCACTAATACCGCACCCTGTATGTTGTCTTGCTTCGCCATAAATTAAAACGATATCCATCAACTTCGAGTTGCTATACAGCATACACATTAAGCCATTTTTGACACTAACTACTAAAAAACTATTGTAAATACTATCGCAATGACGTTAATACTAATTGTAAGTCGCTAGAGCCACGTGACAAGAGACTACAGTTGTCCAGCGATGTAATGGTGGAAAATACTACTACAACTTTTGTCCCGGAAACTACAAGGATTTTACAATTTTTTTTACGATATTGACTACATTTTTCATGCCGCATCTATTTCCAAATTTTTTTGGATAAGCTGTGAATCACTGTATATTAATATTTCGCTATGATTTTTAAAAAACAGGTTGATCTAAATTGAAGATAACATGTTTATAATTAGTATAAGTGGATAGTTATTCAAGTGTTCATATTTGGGGAATTCAAATTCTTATTTAACACAGTGAATCATTTAGTAGATAGTTTGATAAATAAAGTATTTAAAATTACCACATATCCATCGTTCGTCATTGTGGCTGTAAACAATGCGCTATTGTTCGGTTTTCTGTTAATATGGTTATAAAAATAAACCATTTTGGTAATACCTAATAATAACTATTTAAGGAAATTTATATGCACAAAGTGTAACTTAGCCCTTTTAATAGCAGATTCTGGTGCTCAAAATTAATGAAGAGATAGTTTATTTAAAACAGCTGAGGAAAATTATGTAAATAATATTTTATTTCTTTCATGGATAACTTAATTACTTGAATTATTATTTTCATTTCAAAAACAATTTAATTCCTTCTAACATATGCACTTGTGGAAAATCAGAAACGAAAAATAATGCAATAAAAAATTGATATTTTTTTTCTTTCATTCTACAAAATAACGAAAATAAAAGAAGAAGAATCCTCGAAACTGTTTTTTTATCTCTGCTTTGAATATTATGTAATTAAATTTTCAATATAAATTCGAATTTTCCATTAATCATCTTACAATTAATTTTTTTATACAAACCTATTATTTTTGCTCTCTTGAATTCCGCATTCTCTCCCAAGTCAAGTGATATATGATGTTACTCTGTTTAGTAACATTTTAAAGTAGTATCAGAAAGGTGTTCAAAACATTTCAACAAGTTTTGTAATTTTTTTTAATACAATTGAAAATAATTGTGTTGAATTTTATTTGTTCATTTCTTATTAATTTTCTAAACTTTTTAGAGTTGTTAAAAAATTGTAAATACGAAGATTCGAAAAGCTTAAAACATTTTTGAATGTTGACAGTATCCCAAATGCAATTAAAGTTTAGAAAGGTTATATTTTACACTCAAAACAAATATGATTTACTACAGACTTACTGTTTAAGGAATTGTTTGATTAATGATAACTAATTCTTATCTTTTTCTGTTATAGCCTCATCTCAAGTTGAGTTGACCGTTCAACAGCGATCAAGTGGCTTAAGGAATATGGCATCACCAAGTGTTCATACTAGACCAGTGACAACACCCACATCCTCTAGAATTACCGGACCTCAGCCTGTAGATGTGAGTAATAATTTTTTTTTTAATTACTTAAATGCTACTAATGTATAAGAAATAATCGCAAAATTGTATGTATTATTCAAAAACATAAGAGTGATCTAAATTTGTGTGTTTCATATTAATCAAACTAGGTATATTTAAATAACATTTTAAGAGGATACTTCATTGAAAAAGTTTTTTCCTTGTAGGTGTTCAAGACTGTTATTTACTTTTTGCAAATTTACAATATTTAACTCACTGCTATAAATAGCAATAAATCTACAGTGTTCTGAATTGTCATAAATTAAACTTTTTCAGGTGATAGAACTCTTCAAAATTAGAAAAACTTTCCTTAGTTTCCGAGACACAGGCATTCAACTTGAAATTCTTGAAAATGCTTTCATTTACCTTAGGCGTTTTAATTATAATGTAAGTAAACGTTTTCAGGTATTTCAAATTGAACGCCCTATTTTGGGGAGTTCTATGATGAGGTTCAGTTTAGTTTTTTCCATGCAGGATATTCGGTAGTTAATTTATGAAAGCGAAAAAAAATATCTTCAGTACTTTTTTTAATCTATAATTGGATAACTTGTGATACTGAAAAGAAAAAGCAAATTTAATTGTTTATTAACATTTTAAATAAAACAATTTTTACAGCAAAATAATTAGTCAAAGTCAACTTGGTTTTTCCTTACTAGGGCACTGAATTAATTTTTAGGAATTTCCTATGTAAATTCAAGGCTTTATTGTGAAAAATTGGGTACATTATTATATTTCAAAGTATCGTCCATTGCTAGCCACAACTTTTTCCCATCTTTCTGGCAGCATACAGATTCTGCATCAAAAGAACAACTCGTCTTGCTATGCTATCCAATAATCGATCCAATTTTTCATATCTTTGTAAGATTAGAAGCCCTGCTTAGCCAGGCTGTATTCCATGGATCGGAACCTGATGGAGCAATATCTGCTGAATATGGCAGGTGGAGTAAAACATCTCATTTTAGCGTTTCAAAGTATTTTTTGACTTCATGAACAACATGTGGTCGTCTTTCGAGCATTGTCATGTTGAAAAAATAATTTATCATACCTTTGCCCGAATTGTGAACGTTTTTCCTTCAATGCATGGCTCAAACTATCAATTGTGTTTGGTAACATTCACCAATGATGGTTTCATTTGGTTGAAGCAGCTCATAATACACAACACTAAGCTGGTCCCACCAAATACAGAGAATGAGTTTCGAATCATGAATATTCGGCAAATCCCATTATTTTCTATGCTTAGGATTATCATAGCATATCCATTTTTCACTACCAATGATGATACAATACAAAAAACCTTTTTTTGCTGTTGAAGCAACTGTTCACATGTAAAAAATCAACATCTCTCGGCTTCAATTTGTATGGCACTCAATTTCCTGCAATCAACATTCAACGATTCAACAAGTTCATCTTCGAACTTTTTCAGTCAACCGTATCGAAATCACCATTTCTAAAATGTTGAAACCAATACTCATATTTTTATCGATGGAGTATGTTCAACGTAAGATTCCAACATAACTCAATGATTTACAGCAACATTTTTCTTTGGATTAAACAGGAAAAGTTAAACTTTCCGCAAATTGTGTTTTGTTCGCTCATAATTTGACATATTTGGAGCTGAGAAAAAATATGTTTACACTTCAGCAAAATGGACATGAATGTAGTTACAGAAGCTTGTCCGATACAATACAGCATATGTTATGCCATCTATTGTAAATCCCTCAAAACTAATTCACAGTTGTAGTATAACTAGAATTTTTTTGTATTCTTGTTTAGTTTGCTAGTATGTTATTGTAGTGATTGTCTTATTAGCTGTAGTGATGGTCTTATTACTTATCTTTGTATATAAGATTTATTTATTTTTATCAGATCAGCTAGGGTCTGTGGTAGCTAATAAAAATTATTGACAAAAAACAAGATTTTTATATTAGCAGAAAAATAAACATAAAATTATTTTGGAGTCCTCATCCTTTTCAAATTCAATTATATCAGCAAGAATTTAAAATATATTATGTTGCGATAAAAGTACATCGTCAACATAGTTATGTACACTTTTATATTTAAATTTTTACATTTTTAGTTGACTTAAGGAACGCAATTTTATATTATTTTGTTCTATATTCATTTTTTAGAGTTTATTGTCTATTTTGTAGTAGATATGTTGTGGTTAATGGAAAAAAATGTATCTTCTAGGCATTCATGTTTTTTTTCTAAAAATATATAATTTTGATTACTTTAAAAGACAAATTACAATGTCCTTATTTTTTTGCCTGTGTTCTGAATTTTAGCAGCTTTGTATTGAAATTAAAAGTTGGCACTATCACCCTAGTGTTTCATAAGAAACTATAAAATTGATATCTATTCCTCTAGAATGCAATGCTGAGTTTTTTTGATAAAATAAATTCCTTTTGAAAAATTAGCGAATGGATTATATTTTATATTTCTCATATCTTCAAAGGCAGTTACACTGAAATCTTAACATTTTTGCATGACTCAGTATCACCGCGACTGCAAATAAGTAATTATTCAAAATATAATCCAGGATGCAATAAAAAACAAACTTGGGATAATTGCGAAATTTAAATATTTTAGAACGAAAAGCAGCACCAGCTACAGTTGGAAAAAGAGCAATACTACAGATTGATGATAGAGAAAGAACAGCATTACGTCGATCTCCTCCGGAGCCAGATCGCCTCCTCCCCAGACGAAAAGAAGTGCCTGGAACTAGCCAAAACGGAGAGAAATCTTCAAACCTTACAGGCAATGTTGTTACGTAGTCAAAGCGAGGTGAGTCGTTTACCGTTCGACGTACGATGTTATGAAATGTGCAGTAGTGATTCTGTTCTGTTTGTCTGTGTGCCGGTATTGAATGGATTGCTTTTTAATTTAGTGAGTGGTTGTGGGTTTCAAGATCTCCCACAACGGCTCAATTCTATTGTACATTTTTTTAGTTGAGCTGATGTGGTGGCACTTGTGATGGTGATTGTCTAATTTTTCACTTGGGGCAGCCAATATACTACACGACATTAATTTACTAATATCGATAGTCTGGTTGGATATGGAGATAATTTCTATTTGCATGAGATCTGACGGTATAAGGTTTGTTATTCAGGATTGGGGCACTGCGCCTGTCGTCCAACCAGTACCGATTTGGACTAGTTTGTAAAACTCATAGAAATGAAAAAAGAATTAATGGATATTATTTCCTTTTTCCGACCACCGTTGCCCCACGCAGTTCTATTTATATTTGCTTCAAAATAGTTAACCTTTAAACTTTGCCCAAAAAAATATTTTTGACATCATTTCAATCAGCTGGTTGCTAATAATCAGGCAACAATTTCAGATTTTTCCCACTTTTTTTATTATTGTTGTTCACTATATGGAAGCATAATTGTAATATGAATTCCAGTTTTTCATCACTAGTCATACAGGGTGGCTCAATTAAAACAGTCCACCTGAAACATTTTCAATGCAACAAGTTTTTTCGGAAAACCCCGAAACGGGTCGATTTTGATTTCAAGGGGGACATCTTTTGATCATAAATTCATGGATGTAGAGTTATCCCCCTAAACGGGGTGTCAACCCCTACAAGAATCTTAAATGGCACAGAGAGTTAATTGGCATATCATTTTAAAGGTATTGAAATTCTCGTTACAAACATACTGACATTTTTTTGTTCTGCTTTAAAATTAATGTAAAAAATCTGTTGGAAGTGTTGGTGAAATGAACGGAAAAAAATTTTCAAACAAATTTTAATTAATTAAGGGTTCAAATTGCGACCCATTTCACAACATTTCTGTTCACAAAATTGTATACGGCAATCTAGATCATCTTCATTAAGCTCTTGCACAAGATAAATCTTATAGGAATGAAATTGAAGCTTTTTCAAGATCCTCTAAAGATTACATTGTACGCGGGAGCGCAAATGGCTCCATCTGTCGTGCTGACTCCCAACTGTGCCATTCAAATGGCTACAGTAGGAAGCGACTTGCCATATTGCAGGTACTTGTTGCACGACTGCCACCCACAGAGGGCGAAGACAATGTTTTAATTGTCAGTGTTGCCAGAAACAACTACTCGGAGGGCTATATGTCCCTACCGGCATTGAATTATACTCGCAACACCTAGTGCAGTCCGAAACCGGTCTGTGCTTGGTGGGTTAAACTGACGAACGACCCTAGCTGTTGCACTAGGTGTTGCGAGTATAATTCAATGCCGGTAGGGGCATATAGCCTTCGTAGTAGTTGTTTCTCGCAACACTGACAATTAAAACTCTAAAGATTACTACCAGGAATTCCTGAAGTTGTTCTGGTGCTTGAAGTGGGATCCAGTTCAACATGTCTCAAAATTGCAACCTGTGCAGCCCTCTTCAGTAACAGTGTGTTGCCTTTCATGTTTTTTGTTAGCAACGGATCCAGTCTCCATGAATTTAGATATTAAATTTATTACCTAGGGTGGGCTACCGGGATGCCTTTCATTAAACATTTTTGCAGTTACCCGGGCCATTTCATTATTTTGAAAATAGAGAGTGACAATTTTAATTCTCTCTGTAGCGATGTAAACCATGATGGTTTGAATCGTTTGCTTCAAAATAGAGAATAATAACAAATCAACGGATTTCACTACCTAGACAATTCCGATTGATGTAAAGTTGAAGTAAAGTAAACTGCGTGTAAAATTCTAATAAAACCCATCACTTTATCAAGACTTTGATGATAAACCTCATTTTTTACAGTTTCATTATCCAGTGAGTTTTTTTAATATTTTAAGTCTTTTTTCGATTTATTTTCTCGACACTTCCAACAGGTTTTTAACATTAATTTTAAGGCAAAACAAAAAGATTTCAGCATGTTTGCAAAGGGAATTGAAATACCTTTAAAATGACGATTCCATGCCATTTAAGATTTTTTAAGGGATATCCCCTTGAAAGCAAAATCGACCTGTTTCGGGATTTTGCAGAAAAACCTGTTGCATTGAAAATATTTCAGGTGGACTGTTTTTGTTGGGCCACCTTGTATAATGTATAATTTGGAATAGAATTGTGAAAAATTCCACTCTTGACGTCATTTGTATCTCGGAGAGTTTGAAGCACAAATGAAACCAAAGTATTGAAGCTTGTACTAACGATTATAAATCCATACTCTTTTGTATTTTTCATATCAGGCAAATTTCTTCAATTTTATACATTTATCTCTCATCTCTAAGAATTCAAGGTGCAAATGAAAAGAAAAGTCGTACAAACGGTACCTATGCCCATTTAAATTTTTTTATTGTCAATACGCTCCATGCTACGTAGAATTTTAATTGGCTGCCACCCGGAGGCACAAATGAAAATAAAAAGTGGTACAAACTGGTACTAAACGAGTACAGTTGATTGCATTAAATAAAATTTAATTATCCAAAGTTTGATCTTAACTTCAGATAACAATTTATTTCCAAAGAGCCTTTTTTGCAGAGATTTTACTTTGTCAGTTTCACGATTTAAACCTTTCATAGTTATTTCTTGTAATGGTTGCTCATTTTGGTTTTCAGTTATACAACATTACATCTTATTTTTTCATCATTCCATATTCATTGTATGCCGACTTTTTCTGTTTTAACTCTTCGTTTCAAATTTCGAGGTTTGACACAAATATTTTATTTCTTTAGAAACATTTTGAAGTGTAGTGTGTAGTGTAATTTAGATGAAAGTTTTCGAAAAAAATAGTCTTGTGAAGAACTTCAAAATGTATTCAATAAAATAAAATCGTCTGTGCCAATTTCGAAATTTAGGTAAAATATTTATTAGCAAGACAAATGGAGTGATGGAAAATTTAGATGCAGTGTTTCAAGAATCTAGTTATGGGATGTAGAATAAGTTCTCTCTGATTTTTCGTGAAAATTAATGCTTTATTTAAAGAAATCAGTAAAAACATGTTACTGAAAGTATTGTCCATCGCTAGCCACTATTTTTTTCCCATCTTTCTGGTGGCATTTTATTTCCGCATCGGAAAAACGATACGTCTTTTGAGGCTGTGCAAGAATCGACCCATTTTTTGGCACCTTCATGGGAATGGAAGTGCTGCTCAGCCAGGCCATGTGCCATCGATCAGAACAAGTAATAATCAGAAGGGGCAATGTCTGGTGGATATGGCGGGTGGGATACGACTTTCCATTTAAGCGTTTCTAAGTGGTTTTTCACTGGTATCGCAACATGTGGGCGAGCGTTGTCACTCTCCAAAATCACTTTGTCGGGTCTCTGCTCCGATAGTGATTGTTTTTCTTCAATGCTCAGCTCAAATGCATCAACTGTAATTGATAGCGATCTCCCATGATCGTTTCGTTTGGTTTGAGCAGCTCATAATAAACTACAGAAATGCAGAGCAGAACCTTGCAACCATGGATATTCAGTTTTGTTGATGATGTTGACGCATGGCCGGGCTTGCCTCATGATCTTCTATGCTTAGGATTATCGTAGCCTATTCATTTTTCATCACCTGTTACGATACGATGTAAAAAATCTTTTCTTTTCTGCTGTAGAAACAGCAAAGATGCCATTCGTCGTGTCTTCGCTTCAACTCATATGACACGCGTTTGAATCATTCTTAATGCTTTCAAACGTTTCGAAACTGTTGTGTGATCAATTCCTAATGATTCTGTAAGTTCATTTAGCGCCTGATATGAGTCGTCATGAAGTAATGCTTCGAATTTTTCATCTTCAAACTGTTTCGGTGCGCTAGAACGTTCTTTATCTTCAACATCAAAATAATTATTTTTGAAGCATCTAAAACAATCTCTGCATCTTGTTTGCGACAGAACACAGTTGCCATAAACCTCAACCGGAATTTTGTGTGCTCCAGTTGCAGATTTCTTTCGAATAAAGTATTGCAGTAAAATTTTCGGCATGAAATTCGATATGTTTATACAAGCTTGCAGTTCTGGTAACGCCATCTATTGGAAAACAGCGAGAACTTAATCAACGTCCCATTACTAAAAATCAGAATGATTGTTGACCCATAGCAAATAATTTTTGATGAAGTTGTTGAACTTAAAATTAAAAAAAAAACGTACTGAGTGTTGCAAAACGTGTGCAGTGACCTTATTTTTAATAATGGATCTATACGAGTTAACAAACGTTCGTAATGTTTTGGAGGATATTGGGCAGCCTCACAGCCTCAGCGGCATCAACACATAACTAACAACGCTTTACTTGATCTCTCTCTTACAGCAACAATCTCCGCTCCTAGACACTTCTCATACTTTTGTCCCTCTTCCATCCCCTAAAAAACACCGAAATACCACACCGACGTCGCCCAATGGAAATTCAGACGTGCCTCCGCCGCTACCCAAGAGAAACGTCCACCAGTCCCGCCAGCGAGTCAACACAGAAACTAATACCTTAAATAATAAACGTGCCTTATCACATATTAATGGGAAAGTGCCTTTAGACATTAATTCTTTTAACAACGAAATTAACTCTAACATAGCGAACACGATCCCATCCTCGCGAAAACGCCATCCACCATTTGGCCCCCTCGTTCTGGACAGATCCGATAGACCTCCTCCTTTACCACCTCGAACACCCCATTCGGCCCCCCTGCCTCAGCGGACGGACCCGGATGCGGTTAACTCGATAAATAAACAAATGTCCTACCCGTTAGTGGCCACCTGCGCTACGTTAGTTAACAATTATGTAAGTAACATAGTAGAACCTTATTTGATGAATTCTTAATGTTTAATGTGTTTGCCTTCACCACTCCGTGTGTACAGTGCCGCCGCAATAAAGCTGCCGTTGCTCTGTGCTTTGCTTCTTTTTAACTTATCGAACAGAAACTTACATTTGTTATTTTTCTATATCGCCTTTACCTACATCACCTTTGCCTACTGATTGTTCATCTTCTTTTATGAAAATGAAATTCGGGGACGTGTAAACTAATAATTATGTACAAGATGAGTGAAATTTGATGTTCATCATTGGGATCTTAAATATACGAGACCGTTCTTTGAACTACGGGCAACGTTACTTAGTTTTTTTTTCTTAATAATTTACTGTAAACATATCCAGAATAATTTCATTATTTTAGTTTTTTTTTAGTATTTATGTATTAGTATTTCTTTTATATTTGTTTCTAGTGGCCTGAAAATTTTGCAGCGCCGTTACTTAGTCGCTTAAATATGCATCTGACACTTGTTATAATGTTAATACAGTGAAAATTGGTTATAACGACATTGCTTTGTACGACATAATGGATATAACGACGGAATTTGGAAGTCCCGATTAAATCCTATAGAAATACCATATTAAAAATATCGTTGAGGGTTGCTTTCGGTGTGCAGCAAAATAAAACTCTCTCAACAGTAAATAGAAATAAAAGAATTTTTATTGAAAACAAGTTAGTGAAGAAGAGTAAGTGTTGTTGGAGCGAGCATTCGCTGGAGTCTTCTTGTTGTGGCGTCACTGGCAGGTATAAGTATCTGGTCCTTGGCGCCAATCTGCCGTGGTCCTCTTCCGGGAACCATATCCACCATTGCACATTGTTTCTTGTCGTCTGCAATGGGTAGCCCGGTCCGGGCGGCGTCAGGCTGACGCGCTTGTCATAATACTTGAAATGGGTCACTTGCAGACATGTGTACCCACATCGTTTACTACGACACTGTTTACAATGACATCTCGGATTTAATTTAGTGGTTAATGGTTTGGTTCAGCGGAACGAACTCTTTGTGGACAATGCCCTTGGAATCGTAAAAGCAAATCAACATTGTCTTCACTTTTAACTTCTCCATACGAAATTTTTTGGGTTTTGGTTTGTCTGGTGCCTTCCATTTGGCATTTTGGCGCTTGGGTTTTGGATCAAATTGAAAACACCACGTTTCACCACAAGTCACAATGTTGATCTTTTTGGCCTCCTTGATGACGTCCTTCGAATGTTGAATTCTGATCAATTTTTGGTCATCAGTCAACTTGTGCGGAACAAACCGTGCATACACTTTTCGGTAGCCCAAATATTTGGCCAAAATGCGATAGATTGATGCTATTGAGATGCTCAATTCCAATTCCATGAATTTCAATGAAGATTTTGGCTGATCTTTGATGAATTCATAGTTTTGATGGAATTTGCAGTGATCAAGGGTTTCGGTTGGCCGACTTGTTGCTCATCAATTATGTCCCCACTACCATTTTTAAACCATATATATCAATCATTAACTCTGCCACGGGAAAACAATGATAATCATAAACTTGATTCATCAATTGAAACGTTTCAGTAAAAGTTTTACCATGTTTAAAACAAAAGTTAATATTAACTCTTCGTTCAATACTCATTTTTGTATCTTTGCCACAAACAACTGCCACTTCAGATGCAAGAACTCCACTTCTATTCGTCCAAATATCATGAAATTTTGGCAGTACATCAGTGAAGGATCTACCTTTCGACGCATGTCCTCACTAGAAATATCTATTTTTGAAAAATACTGTGTACTTTGGAATGCACCTAGTATATGTATATGAGCCCTAACTACTAAATGTTCGGATGGAAGAGTTTGCTTCTGATTGCGTAATTCTCAGAATCTACTTTGGCTTTTATGAAAGCGCAAATTCTATGTCGTCTTAAGCTTCTGCAAAGTCTTCAGAGTGAAAAATTCATCAGGAATTGTCTTTTGGGGGTTGTTCCTCAAGGACCTTTTCATATATCATAATATTTGAATGACGTTTAGATTGGAGTTGCTTGATGGCCAGTTCAAGATATTCATTTCATTATCTCTAAGCCATTTGTTTGTAAGTTTGGCTATGCATACACCATCTTGCTGGAAAATGAAATTTCATTTGCTGAATTGTTCTGACGTTAACTGTGCCATATGAATTCTAGTTTTCTTATCCCCTTTGGCGTCATGCATCCTTAAATCATTTCTACTTGTGGAAAATTTAGTGTATGTTTTAAGGGAGGTGTTTCAATGCTCAATATTCAGTTAACTTCTAGCAGTCTTTTGCCGAGAGATTTAGAAAATCTAAGCCAGTTAGAAAAAATATCTCTTCATTGTACTAGTACACAAGTTTTCTCCAGGGTATAAAAATTAATAGCTCTTGACAAAATAGGACAACTACATTTTCCGATGTTTACATGACTTGTCAATGTTTTCTATGATCTTTCACTACAAAATATTAAAGGTGTCCTTGTATTTCAACATTTCTCTAGTCAAAAATGGCGATGATGATTTTCCTGTTCTATTGTCTTACTAAAAGTGTGATTTCTTGTTTATAAAACGGCCTTAAACACTTCTTCTGGAAAGCTTTCCTTACCCTTCATGTCATGTGCTCAGGAAAATCTCCAACATGCACACCAAACTTGGATTCATTACTTAAAATTACTTAAGTCCAGTCTTCACTTGCCCAAGTAGTTCTTGGTTTAGCTCATGTTAAACGCTTATGGAGCTCCAAGAGTGATTTTTCTTTTGCCTTGAGGAAAATAAAATCTTTATTTATCTTTCGACGTTAATAATTATTGCCCATCAAGGTATTTTGCTTTGTTAAAACTGTGTGCCCACTGATGATAACGTTCTTTGGATATGTTAGTGTTTGTTCTTTGGTTCTACACCACAATTTCTCTCACACTTCTTTGCCACTTTCAGGTATCAACAAGAGGTTTGTGAGCTTTTAATAATTGTTGGCAGTTGACCAGAACTCTCTCCAGAACAGTCTATACTATCAGTTTCTTGGTATGTTGAAATTCAATCTTCAACTGTGGATTTTGACATATTCACTATGCCAGCAACTTTTTTCCCCTGATTTTCCCTGCTCCTATTGGTGAATTCTTATTTCACACATTTTTTGGAGGTTGCCAAGCAGCACGTCATAGTTTTGTACAATACTGTCGGTAACACTGACAGACACAGGAATTGCAGCAATGGACATTCAAAGGGCTTACAAATCGAAGTAAATTGAATTGTTTGTAAAATAGTCCTTGAAATGTTACCTAAAGTGTTTGTCAAAGAAAGAAGCTGCTGTAGAATACGTTTATTCTAAAGTTGTGTGACATTAAACTGTTTTTGACAAAATTTCCACTCGTCCGGAAATTTAGTTGTTAGGGCTCAGAGAAAAAATATTCTAAACGAAAGCAAAGGAAATGTCAGTTCTATACCTGAAAAAAAAGAGAATTGGATATTAGTACAGTGGAATTTTGTTGTGAATTAAATTATTCTGTAAAATACAAAAGGGATAATGGACATTGTAACAATTGATGACTTCTAAATAAAAATTTGACATTTGTTGAACAATGTAACAATTCAAAAGATTTGTTATGGAGTGAAGAATCATGATGTCCTTGCAATTGAACCATATACAGTACCTTCAGAAATGATTACAAGCCATGTGACGAGTAGTTTTGTATGGAATTTTATTTCCTTCGTGTTAGCAATTAAATTTCGGTAAAATTAAAAATTGTTAAAACAATATCAAGATTAGATTAAAACAATATTCCGTTTCACCGGCTGGTGATTTGTGTTATTTTCACGAGCTTTTATTCAACCAATCAGCGATCGCATTATCTCGAGCGTAGATGTAACAGTTTGTCATTGTTCATTGTAAACGATTCATTAATATTGATGGCTTGTAATCACTTATGAACGCCCTGTATGTGGTTTTCAACATTTAAATGATGGCTGAAAATACAAATTTGACTCATCTCATTAAAATATTTTAAGTACCTACATGGGGTGTGGCAGAACTTTTTTCAAGGCGATTTTTGGTATTTATGAAAAATAAATTATGAAATTATTAAAATATTTTACTTCTTAAGAATCCTGTTTATCGTTTATCATTTTTTCACGTAGCCAATAATTGAATAAAATTTATGTGGAAATCATTTTCCTGTATAGATAATGTCTGTAAATAAACACATACTTTTGGTTTCCGCTGATTATGACTGATCCATTAAAATTATTAAATTTGTCTTTTAATATTGAACACATGTAAGATTTGTGAAGTTCATGATTGTGTTTGATTAATTAATTCCAGAAGTTGTGTATTCATTAAAAAGTGGTGGTTTCCTGTTACCAAATGACTAAGTAGTTAAGGTTTGTTAACTTTTGAAAAGGAATGGAATAAATTTTTTATCCATAATCGGTAAATTATATGTATAAATCACTTGAAATATCTTTCCAAAACGAGTAGATTTATTAAATAATTTGTTTTCCTATCCACTCCCAAATGTAGCTGTTATTTTTTGAAGAAAAAAAAAAGTTAAATGCAGTGGAGCTCCGTTGTAGACACAATCAAGGGACAGTAAAAATTATATACTTGTATATGGGAATTTTTACATAAAATTAAAAAGCTCTACCCCCACCCTTTTATTTTTATAATTATAAAAAAAATGTAGGAACAGTTTTGGTAAATTTTCTCGTGATTTCAAAGCAATTTTTTTTTTTGAATGCAATGATACAGGGTGTTTGGTGCATCGTTTGCCAAATTGAATTGGCCGAAAAGAGAGGTGATGTGCAATCTCTTTAGTGCCAATAACTCACTCTTGGCTCCATGTGTTTTTTTATTACAACTTTTTTATTGTTGTTTTGACAAATTTCAAAATTCAATATTTAAACTTAAATTAAAAAAAAGTTATTGGTGTAGCCTCCAAATTTAATTTAAATTTTTATGTTTGTATTGTCTGGTTCTATCAAATTCAAAATTACTATCAAATAACATCTAGTTGTCATTTTTATAACTCACAAATTTTTTGGAAGAGGTAAAAAGAAAATTTCCCTACTTTCAACTTCCGTGGCATATACAAGTTCTTTGGCCCGCCCCCAGACGTAAAAATCTAACGGAGTTAGGTCTGGAGAACCAAGACAGATCTATTGTGTGGTGGTTGCCGAGGATCTAACAGTAATCTCTCTGGTACATTGGACTTATAGCAGTTTTTGCAATAAAAGGCTGCGTTTCATGAATTGATACTTTCATTAGGTATGGGTGTGGGTTGTAGTAAACATGAAACCTAAACAAAAAAACAATTCAAAATTAAGTCGTTTATGAGCAGTAGGTCTTGATAACTGGAGTTGTTGTAAGCAGGCTGAAGCGCCATCATTTTCTGTCAGATAAAACAAATGATGGTGTCAAAACGAACCTAGATTTGTTTTTTAAATTTGTCACCTTGTAGGTTTTTAAATATGTAATTGCGAGCATAGTTGGATTGATTAGTTTCTTACGATTGCAGTGACAATGATTGATAGGTTTTTCTTTAGTAATAAGGAGATAGCTTAAGAGTGTCTGCCACAAGCTCAAATTGTTGGAAAAAGATTGTATCTAGGCAGCCATGTTTTTGTTATGTTGTTTTCTAAGATATTATGCTTCTGGCACACTTTCTTGGTCATATCTTATATTGGTTATGACTTTTCTTCAGCAAAAACTCAGAAACGGGATTTGCTGTGTACACTGGTCCCTGGTGTACCGGTGCATGACTTGTAGTTTTTGGCGCATATCATTCTATTCCTGAATTTTTTTGGATGAGTCGTTTTTAAATTCCTGGTGGTTCTAAACATTCATCATACATATGGGATGCTATATGCACAGAGGTCTTGGAGTAGACCCTCCCTATACTTGTCTTCGGAACGACTGTCCCTATCTTCTTTGAGGTGTCGTATCTTGTTAATGCATCCTTGTGTATAGAGCACAAACATTGTTGCTAGATATTTCGCTTTTCCTTTTCCTTAGATGTCTTTCTGATGACTTATTTAACATTCTTGTTTGGGTATCCATTTTCGCTAACAGGAGATTGCAAGTGCTGTAGTTCCTCCTCTAAGCGTTCCGGCTCACAGATGGTCCCTGTTCTTGTATATACAATATGTTGACAATACCTGGATACCTGGGCTTGTCGATGAAACTCAATCTTCAGTCCATCTGTGTAAATTAGCTTTTTGGAAACACTGTACCTCAGGGTGTCGTTTGGTTTTCTCTTGACAAAAGTCAGCTAGGAATTGCAGTCTACCATTTTCTTCCATCTGCATTTACCGGAACCAACACTTTTGCTGACTCCAGGACTTTATTTTCGAAGGTTTCCATATAGATATAGGCCAAAATTGGGGACAAGGGTGAACCTACAGCTGCTTCTTCAGTTTCTTCATAAAAACAGTCCCTATAAGGTATTTTATTATGAGAGACTTATGTAGGTACACATGTCGGCATGTGACTCATTTTAAGTATCACGTTAAGAGTGCCAGTTTGACGTCGAACTGGTCTAGGGTTTGGATACATATGCGAGACAGGTATATGTATCTAGTTCCTGGCACCAATCTGCTGTGGCCCTTTTCCCGGAACCATAGTGTGTGTGTGTGTGTGTGTGTGTGTCCCATGTTGTAGATTCGTTTGTTCTTTATCGCTTGCGACTGTTAGACCGGTCTAGCGTCAGGCTGGCACTCTTAACGTGATACTTAAAATGGGTGACTTGCAGACATGTACCCACACACCCCGGACGTGCAACTCCAGATTTGTACAGGGTGATTCTCAAATGGTGACCAAAAATGAAACCTCTTATTCTTTGGTGAATTTTCAGGGTCTTTCCTATAACGTTTTTATCTAGAACGCTTCATTAAAAAGATACAGGGTGTTAAACTTCAAAAAATATTTTTNTGACGTCGAACTGGTCTAGGGTTTGGATACATATGCGAGACAGGTATATGTATCTAGTTCCTAGCACCAATCTGCTGTGGCCCTTTTCCCGGAACCATAGTGTGTGTGTGTGTCCCACGTTGTAGATTCATTTGTTCTTTATCGCTTGCGACTGTTAGACCGGCCTAGCGTCAGGCTGGTACTCTTAACGTGATACTTAAAATGGGTGACATGCAGACATGTACCCACACACCCCGGACGTGCAACTCCAGATTTGTACAGGGTGATTCCCAAATGGTGACCAAAAATGAAACCTCTTATTCTTTGGTGAATTTTCAGGGTCTTTCCTATAACGTTTTTATCTAGAACGCTTCATAAAAAAGATACAGGGTGTTAAACTTCAAAAAATATTTTATTTTATTATTTTTTTAAATAATTTAAAAACTAGTAAGTGAAATAATTTGGAATTGGGCACATGTATTTATGTAAACATTGTCCAAAATCTGAGGGTTTTTCCTAAAATTTACATGCTCCAGTGGCGGAGATACAGGGTATCGGTGGCATATTTTTCTAAATAAAATACGAGTTTCCATTTTTGGTCACCATTTGTGAATCGCCCTGTATATTAGAACCCCGAGAAAATTTTCAATATGTTAAATATGTACATAATTTTTCATTTACAAAAAAAAAAATTATTGATTTCACACGTTTGCGAAACTTTCATATAAAATTGTTAAGTTTCAGAAAAGTTCTTACAACTTTTGTATTTTTAATATTTTTTCTATCTCCAAAAAGTAATAAATAAGCCGTGAGCGGGTGTAAAATAGAGAGAAGCAAACTGTACGGTTTTATTGAATATAACAGAATATTAATTAATCTTAATATGTTACAGTTATTGAAACTTAATATATGAAGAATATAAACACATTTTTTGGGTTTTTTCTTAATTACTTAGTAACCTTTGATAATGAGTTTTTTAATGACGTACATTTTATCGTTCTTAATTAACCGTGAACTGGGAATTTATTATTTATCTGTTTCACTATAATATATTTTGATAATAAAAATCATATTCATTAATATTAAAGGTCTCGGTGATTTCTTAGAACTGGTTCTCATACAGTTTTAATCAGCAAAGTGTGAACATATGTTATTATTGTTGAGTTTATTCGCAGAATTTAATCTACCAGGCCGAAGCGATTTAAATCGAGTTTTTTTAATTTAAAATTTGATCAATGAAAAGGTAAAGGTGTGTAGTGTAGGCTTTTGTCAGTTTCGTCGCTAAGAAATGTAACTTCCTGTTTCAATAAAATGTTACATAGCAAACTTTGATGTTCTGACTGAATGTTCTTTTATTCATAAATATTGTACATACTATAATCAAATCTGTACTAAATTTTTTCACACAACATGCAAACTAATTTTTAAGTAACAGTGTATGATAATTTTGAAACTGTACATTAGCACTTGCATGTATCCACATCATATCATTTTGGTCATGTTAATTTGTACATACATAAAACTATAAAAACATTAACACTGACATTGGTAAAGTGTAGTATATATCATTCAGTGAATACTTTAAAAGATTTGTTTGTTTAATCTATCCATCTCCGTTTCCGATAAAGCATTTTTCTTATTCTTGTTGTTCATGGTAACGAATCAGTGTAATTGCTGTTTACATTTGGATAGTGACGAACAAATTGTGAACACATAAAATCAAAATTGTGTGGACGGTGCAATGAGACTAGTATAAATAATTGAAATTGCTTTGCAGTCGCCCAACCCAACTCATCATCGAACGAAATCTAGTCCAGAAACACTGATGGTCCTTAGTGGAGTTGATGGTTCTAGAAAACTTTCTGAAAGCATGAACGACCTTAGGCAAGAGGAGTGGGAGGGAGCGGAAACGCCCCCGGGAACTCCCCCTCCTCCTTATCCTAGTCCTCAAGTTTCTAGAAGGGATAGAATTTGTATTCCGGAGGATGGAGATGCCACATTTGGAGATGTGAGTTAATTTTTCATTATTGTACTGTATGCATACATATATCTTCATAATGTAGAGACGGGAAAAGCCCCATCTATTGAATATTCCTGGAAAACTGAACATTTCTGAAATTTGTCTCTTTTTCCGCGATCTTTTCAGAGACATTTCAAGACATTTTGTTACCATTTTAATTAAAATGAACACATGATTTGAATTGTGCTCCATTTTCATTCCAAAGAGTTGGTGGTCGTTTTTGAATGACCCAAAGATTGTCTCTGCCCCAAATTCGACAGTTTTGCTTGTTCACATGCCCACTATGATGGAAATGTACCTCGTCGCTGAAGGTGATTTTTTTTTAGCAAAATCGCCATCCATTTGTTGATTCTCCAACATCCAATCAACGAATGTCCGGAGCATTAAATGATCGTCTGGTTTCAAGTCCTGGATTAGCTGAATCTTGAATGGATGTAGATGCAGATCTTTTGTTAAAATCCACTGTATTGTGCTTTTTGAAATGTTTAATTGCAGTTACCGACGGCACACTGAGGTTACTTGAATTTCCGCCATACTATCACTCATTGTAGCTATATTTTCGACTGAACGTTCAGTACAAGGCTAGCCTGTTTTTTTATTGACTGCAACTGAACCTGTTTGTTGAAATTTGGCAACTATATTTTCACAGTTGTTTCATTTGGGGTGTTCCTTCTAACGAAAATTCCATTCCACGTAATTAGCGCACAGTCTCGGCTACACACTCTCCATACTTGTAACGAATTTTCACAATCTTCACTCGCTCATGCGTCGTATAGCACTCCATTTTTCTAACCGTAACGTATTTACTACAAACGTGATCTTGCACAACGCTGCCAATCAACTCTGGAAAGAAAATTGCGCACAATTCAAATCCTGCGTTACTTTTGGGACATCGTTTACTTGCAAAATAGATTGTAATTTCTTAACGCCCATCTAGTGTATTTGAATATTTGATAAATATAAGGGTCATATTTATAAATAAAGGCTACTTTTGACTTTTAGAAAGAGATCACTAGTTTTTTTCTCATATTCTGTCATGAAAATAGAATTTTTATAATTTTTTGGTAACTTTCATACTTTGCCGCTGAACAAGTTAGTGTTACCTCAATGAAGATACACAAACATGCCGTCCGTCATCAAACACTGAAATAAATAACTTTTTAAAGTTATTACTTACACTACCCAAGACACCACTAAATACCACAATACATCTTACTTTAAAATTAAACAACAATGTACTGAACAAATTCTATTTCGATTTCAGTAAAAACTAATACTTTACGCAGGAAATCGAGAAATTATATAATATTATAAATACTTTCTGATCAATCGATAAACTGAAAACTAAAATAAATGTAATAAAATAAAGTGCTGACATATTTGGCCATTTTCATTTCGCCAAGTGAATGTTGGCCTTTCGTTTTTTGCCCACTAATCACTTTGTTGTCAGATCACATTGGGTGGATTGATATTATGTAGTTCATCTAAATTAGCTTAACGTCAGAAGTCATAGACTGAATACGGTTCTTTAAAAAATGGTAACATGCTTTTTATTAAAAACTTGAAATGGTTTTAAAATTATTTCAAATTCATAGTTTTCGGACACCTTACGTAGCAAAATAAAAATTTCAGTTTTGATGTTTTAAATATTACTGTAGGGTATTATTTTGTTATTTTAAATATACAGGGTGTAAGAAGTTTGACTGCCATTACTTTCACAATTTCATCACAACGTGACAACAGCTAATGTTACACAGCTGATGCACACCACTTGTGCACGCGGCAGACATGTCCTACGGAATAACAAAAATGTAAACAACTATTATTGTAAAACGTTTAGTAAACTTCAAGACCATTGTTTTCCAGTTTTTAAATAAATAAAATAAAATGTATCGATTTTGTAGGACGCAGATAGTGTTGTGCTTAAATTTTAACTCGAATTTTAGTAATTATAAATCTCTTAAAACAAACTTGTCCTATGGATAACAAAAATGTAAACAACTATTAACTATTGTGAAACATTTAGTAAATTGCAAGACAATTGCTTTCCAGTTTTTAAATATATAAAATAAAATGTATCGAATTTGTAGTGAGAAGATAGCGTTGTACTTAAATTTTAACTTGAATTTTAGTAATTATGAATCTCTTAAAACAGGAACTTTTAATCAAATTATGAATTTGAAAAATATGTACATTGAAATACGAAAAAAAATAGTTTTTTTAATGAAAACTGTAATTAAAAAAATTGGGACATTTAAAACGTGTATATATGTAAAAGTTTTTAACCTTACAAAATTCATACAAAATATAATGTATTATAGTAATACATAAAATGAAATGAAATGTTACGTTAATGACGCAAAAATTCATATATTGTTGTTTGTCTCCTCGTTTTCTTTAAAATAGCGTCCAGAAATCGTATTTCTAATTTGGAAATAAGGTCCAAAGACCAAATGTTTAAGCTGATTGGTTAGGATAATAGCTTCACCATAATTTGGTATAGCTTCTGTTGGTACTGGAACCTCATCAACATCAGAATCTTCGGAAAATTCTTGTATTTCAACAAGGTTTTCTGTTTCTAGTCCTGAATCTGGATCTTCAACATACAAATTTCCATCTAGGTTCAAAAAATCATTAAGGTTTTCATTATCAGTCAGTTCCAACAAATTCTTATTTTTGGATCAGATATATGTGACATCCTCAGTTAACTAATCTTCACTTTTATTTTCATGGTTAAATCCTGCTTTACGGAAGCAATTTTTAACTGTTTCCTTTTTATTTTATTTTTTTGTACGTTTAAGAGAACATTTTCTTGTGTCCGCGTCCGTTCAAGAGAATGTCCGTCCAAGAGGGAGTTAACACAATGGAAATTATATGAGAGTTGGTCGGTACTTACCAAAAAGCAAAATTCAGTAATTTTTAAATACAAAGTACAAAACAAACAAACAAACTACAACAACATATGCTTAAAATGTCCACCACCATTATCGATGCACGCATAACATCTTCGAATCCAATTTTCGCGAACTCGATAGAAAATACCCGGATTTATCCTTATTTGACGGGCAGCGGCAAAAATTTGTTCTCGCAAGTCTTCGACTGTCGAATTCCATATACCAACTGAATTGCGTATTGTTGGTTGTTGAACACCTTAGTACCTCGTGTTAACCGCCGCGACGTTGTCACATTGCTCGATATGAATTTTATCAAATTTTTAAATTTATTACAATGCTAATTATTTTTTAGAATTAAGCATAAAGAAGTTCAAAACAGTGATAAACATTGTATTTTATGGTATTCTATGCACGCAGTTATGTCAATATTCCTTAATTAATCGAACTTTTTTACATCAAATTGGAGAATTTGATTTTTTTTTTTCTCGGAAATGATTGAGTTTAGGACCCATGTCATATAAGGCTTTTTTGTTTATTTTAATATATTTTATCGTCTGTTAAAATTAAGGCATTCAAACTTCTAACAATTTGTATATTATTCAGAGAACATAAAAATATAATTTTGTAGCGATGTGAATGATGCTAAAACACTCAACCAAAGAATGAAAGTGGGTAATACGTAAGAAAATTTCTAAAAGAATCTTCAAATCAAATATAGTCCAGTTTGTTCAATTCATTATTATTGTTGAGTTCATCATGTTGTAAAAATGTAAAAGATAGAAATAAGTCACCATGTTAGCTGAAGATTTCAAAGAAAACTCCGTTAATCCTTGTTTTTATTTTCTTAAATATTTTTTTGTGGAGTTTATTCTTCTTAAAAAAAAAGCAGTAAAACAATTCATATACCTACTTAAGTATATACAGTAATCAATCTAATTGAAAAATTTATTTCAGAAAAAAATTATAAATATTTCTATCTTGGATGTTAGGATTATACCCACATTTATACAGTATTAAACGAAAATATTTTGAATAGACATCTGCTTCTTATAAACACCATATATTAAAAACAAATTTTTAGAACTTAATGGATTCTCCTGATGCCTCACCTTTTCGGGGTAATGGATCTACACGTGTATTGGCAAACAGTTCTCCAATACACGCTGCTAATCCTCAAGTCTCCCAAGAACCCATTATAAGTATGGAGGATGACGAAATCTCAGACCAAGAAATTGTAAGCACTGATTACGTTACATTAATTATATCAATCTTTTTTTCACTGAAAGTAAGATTTTCTTTAAGAGAAATAATGTGACCAAAAAAAATACTAGCTTTCACTGAAAAGAAAGGTAAAAATAAAAAATAAATAAAATTAATTTCACTAACATTGCACTCTAAACGATATTTGGGTTAGTTTTTCTTGTCATGTTTCTTTTTTTAATAATTTGAAAGCTAAAATAAATAACAATGAAAGCAATGTTGTTAGTAATTTTATCCAGCACCAAGGATTACAAATTTGTTTTAATTAATTTTGATAGTTGAAATTCGTAGAGAATTTGATTTCCCTTAACTTTTATCACTTCGATAAAAAAATCACGGGTGTTTTAAAGGTAATCGTACTTTTGTGTGATTTTAGAATCAGTTCAAGGACCATGGTTACTTCAAATCCCTTTCCAAGTTATGGGAGCACTTACCTCATCTAGCCGTCTTCACTAATTATATATTATCAAATTCTGATCCCAACAGTCTGATGTTTTACCTATTAACGGACCTTTATAAGGAAGGAAATGCCAAAGAAATGAGAAAATGGGCTTTTGAGATACATTCATGCTTCTTAGTTCCAGGAGCGGTAAGAAATTTATTAAACTGTTTTATTTTAGGTTATTTTAGGTTTAATATTGACCGCATACATTAAAACAATACAAACACCGAACATAAAAATTAGAGTATATAAAAATATCTAGTATGGCAGCTGTAATAGTCGATTTTAGTTTGTGTTATTTTACATTTTCGTTATGTCTTTTACAGTGATATTAATTCCAACCCAGCTAAATCTTTTTACAAACATGACACTGGTGCATCACAATGTAATCAGAAAATTTTTTAGTAAATTAGTGAAGCAATAGGCATTTATAAATTTGTTTAGAGGTGGACCTGTATTAATGCATTAAGAGGGCTCTATTACAAAATAGACAACCAACAATACATTTTTATAGATTTTATTACACCGTTTGTCTAAATATGAATTAATGCACAAATAACAGACTTTCTACCATCTTAACGCAGATTTTCTATAAAATGGAGTTTTTTTGAAACTCAAATTACTTTTCGTTGTAAAGAAGTTTGTAATTTTCCACTTTTGAACAAGCAGCATAGTAAATTACTAATTTCTTTACACCAAAAAGTAATTTGAGCTTCAAACTAACTCCATTTTATAAAAAAATCTGTGTGAGAATGGAGGAAAGTCTGTTATTTGTGCCTTAATTCATATTTAGACAAACTGTGTAATAAAATCTATAAAAATGTATTGCTGGTTGCCTATTTGCTGTAGAGCCCTCTGAAATGCACTAAACAAATGAAATAAACCACTGTGCAGCAGTTAGCGAGTTTTATGGGTACCCCATCTGGGGTCCAGTTACAGCAAAAATTCACGAAAAAGTGCTAGGAAAAATACAAAAAAAAATTTGTTCTATAAGTATTCAAATGTTCATTTATATGGTTAAGCCCCGCCGAACGTGAATCCGCGGTCAGAATTGATGATTCTTTTTCAAAAAAATGGGTCAATTAAGGTCAGATATCACGAATTTTCAAAAATAACCAATTCGCGCCAAATTTGGTATCCGGCAGTTTTCAGGGTCGCTGATCACGGATTCGAGGTCAGTTTTGCAAAATTCAAGATGACGGATCCAAGATTTCTGACCAAATTTAAAAAAGAAACACATTTGTGCCATATGGATATAGAAAAAAGTGTTTTTTTGTATTTTTCCTAGCAGTTTTTCGTGAATTTTTGGTGTTTTTGACCTGTTTTTTGAGGTTAGGAAATTCCTGTGATGGATAGCTCAATTCTGACACAGGATTCGTGATCAGGAGGCAAAATTACTACGGATAACATATGTCGCATGAAAAGTACAAACAACTTTTTTTTTGTGTTTCTTTATTTTCCGCATAACTTTAATTTTCATTTAAACAGCATTTTGAATTTTGAAAAATGGTTCGTTAATATTAAATTAAAAAATAAGTTTAAAAAAAAACTAATTTTATCTGTCAGTTGTTTATGAAGAAAAATATATTTCTTTTCGAGATCTAAAGCACAATCCCTATTTGATTTTCTTATTTTGCAAATTTTGTTTGAAATTTTTTCATCACTCTCTCATCACTTTGTGGACCTAGAAATCGTCTTCTAAAATCTGGTATGTCTTATTTCTTATTAAAAATATGATAACTTCAGTTTTCGCCAGCCACTGCACATTCCCTACTTTTTGATAGATATTAAAATTGATTCCGAAGAATAATTGAATAGAAATCGATTTAAAAAGAATAATTAAAATAAATATGTTTACGAAAGTACCGTAAAAATAAGGAATCGTTTTTTTATGCAGCCTCTACGCTTAAGCAACGTCGATGAGAACATAGCCAGAGAAATCGACGATGTCCTTACGAAAGAATTTGATAAAGAAGACCGGTTACGTAAAATATTCTGGAAGGCCAGGTCTAGAGCCAAGGAGGAACTAACGAGGCTACTAGCCGAATTCCAACAGAAGAGAACCGCCGGGTTAGGTACAATTTTCGGACCCACCGACCAGGCCCTCGCAGAAGTTTATAACGATAAAGCGAAGGAAACTAAATTGTACGAAACGTTGTTCTTAGAGAAATTAGACCCTTATTTAGACGAAATTGAAAAGGAAAATTGTGATTTGAAGCGTTATTATACAGCCGCTGCCTTCACCACGGTCCTGACGAGAATTTTCCAGATTCGTCCCGCCCCGCACGCACTCGATAGGTGTCCGACATTTGTTAGTAAGGAGAAATCTTTCCGGACGAAGTTTATCGGGAAGTATTCTAGAAAGGTAAGTGCGTATTTCACATAATTTTTTAATGTTTTGTCAAATATCGATCAGTTGCAGTAGGTATTTTAGACATTTATTTGTTGTCTTGTCTAGATTATTGCATTTGATGGGGAGGATCATTATTTATAAAAAAAAATTGACATAAATACGTATATTGAACATTAGGTGTGGAACACTTTATTTTCGAGATGCAAGTTGTTGAAATTAAAAAAAAATATTTGTAATATATATTACATGAAACTTGGCTAATGATTTGTTTAACTGAAGATAAAAATTGATTAAATTGATTTATAAATACAGGCCACCAAATATTTTGAAAATTTGGTTAGTTTCTAATTCCCCTTATTTCTAGGAAAAGAAATCTCTCATTTTATTGGAAGAATGAACTCTTTGTAGAGTTGTGATATTTTTTTATTTCACAATAAACTTTCCATCTAAAAGAATCCATTTCACGTAAAAAAGTAGGATTTTTGTTAGAAATACAATTTTAAATACAGGGTGATTCAAAACTTATATATAAAAAAAAAACACATTTGGTCCTGTTTCTACAAACTAACACAAATGTTGTCCTGCTTCACCATAACACTAACATTGCACCATAATACAAATGTTGTCTTGCTTCACCATAAATTAAAACGATCTCCATCAACTTTGACAATTGTATTGGAAGTCCCCGAGGCCACGATAAAGGCTTCTCCATCATAATATTTATTGCCATTTTAATTTTAATTTTAAATATCATTTTTTTTGACATAGTCTGTAAATTATTAATTGTTTGAAACACTGTTGCTTTTTTTTTTTTTGGTATTTTGTATTAGCGTTTTTCCAGTATGTAGTTTTGAGGCAATACCATTTTCACAAAAATAACCCCTGTCTAATCATTCGCAAGGCCTTATTTCATTAATTTAAAAAAAATTGCACAGTCGGCTAAGTAATAAATAGGGAAAAATCCATTTATGTCATCAAAATAAAAATAATCTGCAACCTAGAAATTTTTATTCTTTTTTGATATCATTAAAAAATTCACAGTTTCTACTTGAATATTGTTTTTCCATTAACCTCACCATAATATGCACTATTACAAACTTATTCTTGAATGAAAACTGTTACTTTTTAGATGTCATGTACTTAATATGCATCACCTTGAAACATGATGTATTGGCTACTAGTGTCTGTGAAGTAAAAGTGAATAATAATATTTCACTGTAATACAAATGTTGTCTTGCTTCACCATAAATTAAAACGATATCCATCAATTCCGAGTGTTGCGATACACACAAGCCATTTTTGACACTAACTAGGTACTAAAAAACTATTGTAAACACTATCGGAAACTATAAGGATTTTACAAAAATTTTTTTACGATTACTCCATTTTTCATGCCGCATCTATTCCCAAATTTTTTTGGATAAGTTGTGAATCAGCTTGTATTGTTTGTAATTATTTATTTGTGGCATAAGTTTTGTTTTTTTTTATTATGTATTTTGTCACATGCGAAAAAATTAAAAAATTAGTCATTCGAGGGTTATTTTTTAAGAAAATAATTTTACCTAACCAATTATTTCATACTGAAAAAGCAAACAAATACAAAGATCAAAAAACATTACTCACCTTGAACTCTATTGATGGATATGTGGGAAGCCGCTTGAAAAATGTTTTTGAAATTGTGGTGGTGTGATACGAGCCGTGGGTCTACCAAGCTAAAATATATCAAGGTTATCGTATTTCCGGTTATACAGGAAGTCGATACCAACTTTCTTATTTTAAATGGAACCCCCTGTATATTACTGCATTTTTGAAAAGAGCATTTATTGTTAAGTTGAAAGCATAGCACACTCCATATTTAGGACCGACCGTTTCCGAGATATTTTGATTTTTAGGCAAAAATTGACAGATGCAGAGTGCCAGTGAAATTTAGTTTCCCCAGAAATGGAAATTTTCCAGTTTTTATATAAGATGGTAAAAAAAATGATCAAATATGAAGTTCAGAAAATGTGGCAAACTCGAGTTTTTAAATGGAAACCCTCAATTTTTTAATGTATTTGCATTCTGCATTAAAATTGAATGTAACTTCGTTAAAGCTTCCCTATATCTAAACCCAGTCGTTTTCATTTTATTTTCGAATAAACATTTCCTTTTTCCCAAAATAGTTTTTCCATTTGTATTGCGCATTTTAAGTTGGCCGTGACAGGTAAGTAACAATCAACATGACAACTGTCACATATTTTTACAGCCGCCTCGCTCAACAGACCTGGATTATTTTATTTGGGGGACAATAAAAAATAGTGTGTATAATAACAACAAAGGAAAATTGTATGCATAGAGTAAGGCAAGGATTTGAGCAGCTATCACAGGGTTCCATTAGAGCAGCGACCCACAAGAAACTAATCTGAAGGTATAAAAAATGTTTAGAAGTTGAGGGAAGACATTTTGAACATTAAAATATATTTGACAGTTAAAAACCTGTAACAGTTGTCATGTTGATTGTTACTTACCTATCACGGCCAACCTAAAATGTGTCAAACAAGCACAAACACCATTTTGGGAGAAGGGAAATGTTTATTCGTAAATAAAATGAAAACAACTGGGTTTAGATATAGGGCAACTTAAATAAATATGTTAAAAAAATTGAAGGTTTTCATTTAAAAATTTCAAGTTTTCCACATTTTCTGAACTTCATACTGGTTTATTTTTTTGACCACCTTGTATAAAAGCTGGAAAATTTTCAAGTCAAATCCGATAAATTAGGTCTTCCTCTACAAAATCTCCGATTCCCACAAAAAAATAAACCTGTGTTTCTGGGAAAACTAAATTTTGCTGCATCTGTCGATTTCTCCCTAAAACTAAAAATATTTCGGAAACGGCCAATCCTAAGTATGGAATGTGCTATGTTTTCAACTTAAAAATAGATGTTCTTTCCAAAAATGCAATGATATACAGGGGGTTTCATTTAAAATAAGAAAGTTGGTATCGATTTACGATATAACGGGTATTTCAAAAGATCCTTCAAGCGGTTTCCCAGATATCCATCGATGATGGGACACCCAGTATATCCTGCACTTCCTTTAAAAAGTTACTAATGTTTTGAAGATCTATCTTTTTTGTCCTTTGAACTTTTGACTTTTCGTTTTTTGAATTATTTTTTTTTGTCGAACCCCATTCAGTTATGTGACCGTTTTCCCAAGTGTGATCGCAAATTTTTGAGTTCTCAAATTCTCGTTTTTTAATGTAATCTTTGCACTCGTCTATTCTAATTTTTACAGGTTGAAAGATATCTCCAACATAATGTTTATTACCATTTTTTGAATTTTAAAAATCATTGTTTGGACAAAGTCGGTAAATTATTAACTGATTGAAAAACTGTTGTTTTCTTTTTTGGTATTTTGTATTTGCCTGCTTTTTTCAGTGTGAAGTTTTGAAGTTTCTGTTAGGAAAAATTATTTTCACAAAAATAACCCCTGTCTGATCCTATTAGCACAAGTCTTTATTTAATTCATTAAAAAAAAATCACTGTTGGCTAAAGAAAAAACAATTTTAGTCATCAAAATAAAAAAAATCGCCAACTTAGAAATTTCTACTTTTTTTTTGAGATGCCCTTAAAAAATTACAATAATTTCTACTTGAATATTATTTTCCATTAACTTCACCATTATATGCAGTTTTACAAACTTATTTCTGAATGAAAACAATCACATTTTAGACGTCGTGTACCTAATATGTATCACCTTGAAAACATGATGTATTGGCTACTAGTGTCTGTGAAGTAAAAGTGAATGTGAAATAATAGCGCCAGTAAAGTAAAAGCGGACGTGAAGTAATTGCGTCCCTAACATAATATTTGAAAAGTAACATTAAAAAGATATTGATTAACAAAACGAACCCAACTTTTTTAAATTTATTGAAGTCCATAAAAATGCAACTATTTGGGAATATAAAATTAACAGTTTTGAACTTTTTCCAATGACATTGTATTTAGAACTATATTTTTAATGAGAGGTGTATTCAATGTATTTTTTTTTTCATTGTTGCTTGTAATGGAAAATCTTTAAGAGTTGATTTTCATGAGAGAATGGAAACTTTGTAGAAACTAAGAGGTTTTTGAAAAATAAATATTGGGCAAAAGTTGCAAAAAAAATGTGGTTAAAATTTTGTCACTTTTTTTGGAGCATCCTGTATTATTTCACACAAAATTTAATTTTAATATAATTCAGAAAATATTTTTAAAAACAATTTTTTTAACTAGAACACTATTTCAAAACTGCCTCGAGGAGAAATATTTTAATATATTTTCTATATATTTTTTTATTTTTTTTTAATATATTTTTTTAATCTTGTATATAAAGTTTGGACGGGTTAAGTTAAAATTCAAATTAATTCTGTTTCAAAGTGCAAATCATGATATTTAAAACAACGTATTACATTTATTGTATTTTTATGGTCAATACTACTGTAATAAATCTCATTACTGATTGAGTTTAATTCGAGACAATTTATGTCACCCTGAGAAATACACAAGCCAAGAGTCACATTAATATTATTGATAAGATCTTGTAGCGTCATTAGTTTGTGTGGCTGTTATTTTTAGTGTACACACACCATCATCTTAAAATTATTATTGACTAGTAAGTACTACTTCCCATTGTATTTAATTTCCATAAAAAAACATCTCTAGCAGTTTTTTGTACCAGTAAAAATAAATTCCTTGGAGTTCTTGTTTTATAGCTCTGTAGAAGAATTTTTTTGCGTATTTGTTTTGAAACTAAATCTAAATTATTAATTTTATTAAATAGACAGAATAAGTTTTTCTAAAATTCCCATTTTGAACAGTTCATAGGTGATTTTAAAAAATTTGATATTATTTTTGTGCGCATTGAAAAGAGATTCGATAGGTAGGTGGGATAAACTTGTATATATTTTTGGTAAATAATGATAATTGCTTATGTTCTGTTTTGGTTTGATTTACGACCTTAAAAATAAAAACAAAAATTTTAATCAAGAACAAAATTTTAACCAACTTTCCATTTAGAATACAATAAAATATTTATTAAAATGAGTTTATTTATCAATATTTTTAACATCTATTTCATCTGTCATTAACAACAGTGATAGATACACATTTTAGCCCTGACGAAATGAATTTTAAATAAATACTAAAGAATATGAGTGTTGCCTTCTATATTTCGGGAATAGATATCAAGAAAAGAAATTAATTATCGTATATGGCTTTATTGTTTTTCTCCATGAAGAAATATACACTTTTGCATGCTCCGGAACTAATTTTCGAAGCACTTCTCCCATTCCGATAGATGTACTTCCAAAACATACATTTTCCAACTGCTTTTTCAGACGTTGAAAAACGTTGAGCTTGTAATTTATTTAATTATTTTTAATGTGCGGGAGTAAAAAAGTCATTAGGTGCCAAATCAGGCCTGTACAGCGGATGATTCATTAATTCGACTTTCTCAAAAACTTTCTTAAGAAGTCTCTTGTTTAAGCCAATGTGTGGGAACTCACATTGCCCTGGTGGAGAATGATGTGTCTTTGGTGTGTACCATTCAGAATTGACCATCTGATGTTGCACTAATGGTATAGTTACCACATATCAAATTTTTTCGAAAAAAACAGACGACCGTTTGCTTAGAAGTATTTTGTGTGCAAATAACTTTTGTTGGATTTGGTTCATCTTGAAAGACTCAAACAGTCGACTGCTGTTTACTTTCGGCATCTGTTACGATGTCATAGTTTTGTTTTAAAGCACCGCGATCGTATTTCTTAAGCATTTCTTTTGACTAATCAACACAAGGTTTTTTTTTGAGCGTTTGACAGACTATGTGGGATCCAACATGGATATTTTTTTTTTGCTGGCCGAAAGTTAATGCAATATTGAATGTTTGCCCAAGGTTGCCTCGATTGCACACTAAGTCTTGTGACAATCTTGCAATATCAGTTGCAGAACAACAACCGATTTTTGACGACTTTCACGAAATATGTCAGTGAACTAACCATGGTTGAATTCCGCATACCACCGATATACAGTGGTTTTTGATGGTGCTCCATTGCCAAAAGTCGAATTAAGTTCATCGATGCACTGTTGTTGAGGTAATCCATGTCGGAAGTTGTACAAAATAATGGCACGGAAATGTTTAGGACCTATTTCTCTTTTTCGGCTGTCAATGAGATGAATTTTTCAAGTCACTGTAAAAAACACAAATAGCGATTGTACGTGAAAACGTTCTAAGTAAGTATACCACCAACAAGTCAAACTTTACGATAGGGGTAAGTAGGTTGTCAGATGGCAGCACAAGGATCATCCATTCCCGAAATATAAAAGACAGCCCTTGTAGTAATTAATCATGATTTATTAGTTTTTCAGTTTTTTTTTTCAAAGATTTTAGCAGAGTTATAAGCTAATTTTCTAGTTGTTTTACAGCCAAAGCACTTTTATATTCATTTTTTGTAGGTATATATTATTTTAAATTAAATTTATAAGAACATTTTTTACAATTAATTATATGCAGTGTACAAAATATACGGGAGTATTATAAATTTATTTTATATTGTCGTGACCTTGAGTCATTTTCAAGGTCAACTTTGTTTTTTTTTTAACGGAAACCCTTATTTTCAACCCAGGATTTGGAAAGACTGGAAAATTCTACGTTCAGATGATGTATCACGTGTGGGGTCCATTTTATCCCCTAAGGTCACGTGAAGGCCAATTTTTTTTTAATTGAATCTTTTCACCTAAATGACCCCGCAAAGTTAAGGTTAAGCGAAAAATAAGATTCAGGAAAAAAATTAACCTTCACGTGACCTTGGGGGGCCAAATGGACCCCACACATGATACATCATCTGAACATAGAATTTTCCGCTCTTTCCGAATCCGGGGTTGAAAATAAGGATTTTCATTTTAAAAATACTAAGTTGACCTTAACATGACCTTCAAAATGACTCAAGGTCACAGACAAGGTCACGACAATATGGGCCCTTTGGAGATCAGTAACTTTCATCTGAACCATTTTTCACATAACCATGTACTTTGGATTTTAGAAGGGGTGAATGGGTGGTCTGGGACACCCCGTATATATCATTCTCTTAAATTAAATTTTATTTGATCAAATATTAGGTGAAAAAAATATAAATACATAGCAAATAATTTTTTATGCCTACGTGAAGTCTATGTTTATTAACAACAAAATAAAATCAAGATACTGACAGGTCTTTATTACTTACATTTCTATATTATGAAATATTTCTCTTTCAGTTAAGCGTCTTCGGCCACCAGTACATCGCGCAACAATATTATACTGTCATAGGTTGTAATAACTGCCACCAAATCATATTTGGAATTAGTCCCCAAGGATACCAGTGTTCAGGTGGGAATTCTAATTAGAATTGTTAATATTAAAAATTAACCATTCTTTTTATTTTTCCAGTATGCCATATCAATCTACATAGACATTGCGTTAAACTTTACGACGACAGTTGTCCCGGACCTATAATAAAAAAGGAGAGAGGCATCAGGAAACTAATCGGTATGAAGGACAACACCGACCACAGCAGGATCAAGAAGACGTCGCACTTCTTGCAAAGTATGTTTATATGAGGTTAGGGGAGTAGGTGAAAGATATATAACCGTTTGTTTTGTTCGCAGTGGAAAAAGAACGCAGGCAAATGGAGGAGAGGGACAGCAGTTTTGAACAAAGCGAAAGCGGTAAGTCTATTTATCTTTACAAACATTTAGAAAACCAGTTAAATTGTGATAGTGTTTGTATCCTGATACACATGTTATGGTAATTACGTTGCTGTTAGACAAAATGGAGTGCTCTGTGACAGATGAGTGAGTGAAGAGTGTGAAAATTCATCACAAGTTACGGAGAGTGTGTAGCTGAGACTGCGCGCAAATTACGTGGAATTTTCAGTAGCGAACAAGCAAAACTGTCGAATTTGGGGCAGGTCATTCAAGAATGACCACTGTATACCCAAAAAGTATAGTTTGGAAAGGATTTTACGTTTGTGGGGTGATTGGTCGTTTCTTTTTTGTAATGAATTTTCACAATCTTCACTTGCTTATCCATCATATAGCGAACTGAAAATGGAGCACAATTCAAATCCTGCTTTACTTTTGGAACACGCTTTAGTAAAATATTAAATCTTTCATTTTACACTTTTTTCTGCTTTAAAGAGTGGGTTTAATCGTTAGCTGTTATTTCATCTTTTTTAACTGAATTTTTCAGAAATATTCGTACATAATTTTTATGATGGTGAAAATTAAATTAATTAATTAATTAGTACACTAATGCAAATATTTCAGGGGTCAAAAGAATTTTGGACATTTTTCCTTGATTTTTTACACTGTATTTAGGTAAAAAATGGTCGTATCGGGAATTAAAAAAAAAAAGCATTTTGAAGCTCTAAGATTCAAGTTTTTAGATCTTTTGGTCGAAATTTTTTTATAATTTTTTTATCAATTCTAGAAATAGCGCGACGAAAAAATTAAAACATTTTTTTTTTTCCGAGTCCACAGACCAAAGGATCCTTTTTGTCTTCAATCATCGATCATCTCGGTGACAAATGGTCTTATAGAGAATTGAAGGGTAGTTTTGAAAACTTAAATAAATTTCCTGTATCATGCTGCCACAACTTTACGTAACAAAAAATTTTTTTTTCATCTTTTACACAAATTTTAAAAAACAGGAAAAAAGGGGTAATTTATGGTTTTTTAGAAAATAGACGGCTAAATTAGAAATATTCACACATCGTGAACCATTTCTTTGAATTTTTGAAAAAAATTAAAGTTTTTTTGAGCTTAAACACTAATGATTAAATTGGAAAAAAATTTTTTGAGGTTTTTTCACATTTTTACCGAAAATAACGTTTAAATTGATGAAAAAAAAAAAAAAAATTAAAAATTTGTTTTTTTTTTTTGGAAACGATTCAGCTTTTCCGTCCTATGCTTCTGTTCATCAACTTTTAATTAAATTAAAATTAAAGTTGATGACCCAAACCAGATTTCGACCTTGATTCATGTCGTTTTTTGAGACAAATTTCTAATTAATTTTTGTGCATTCTGTAATCACTTAAAAAACAGTTTTTTTCAAAACTACCCTTTTCCTTCTCTGAAAAAAATTTAATTTTTTTTTTCACCCATTTAAACGTTACTTGCGGTAAAAATGTGAGAAAAATTCAAAAAAGTTTTTTTTTCCATTTTAATCATGATTATGAACTGTTTAATCTCATAAAAACGTGACCCTTTAATTTTTTTCAAAAGTTTGAAATAAAGAAACAGTTTTGCTAGATCGAGATGAAACTTCACAGGGTTCTTCTAGGTATATCGAACTGTAAGTCATGCTTAACATTAGTCATTTCGTGAGTATTTCTAATTTAGTTGTCGGTTTTCTAAAAAACCATAAGTTATCCTTTTTCCAATTTTTTTAAATTCATGTAAAAGATGAAAAACAAAATTTTTTATGAAAAGTTGCGGGAGCATGTTACAGGAAATTTAGTTTTCGAAACTGCTCTTCAATTCTCTGTACGACCATTTGTCGCTGAGATATTGATGATTGAAGAAAAAAGGATCCTTCCATTGAAAGTCCAATATTTCGATGAAAAATGGTTGTATCGAAATTTATTAAAAAGAAATTGAAGCTGAATAAACAAGTTATCTGGTTCATGATATGGCTTAGCTGAAAAAAATTTTTCCAAGTCTGTGGAAAAAAAAATTTGCAAAATTTTTTTGTTGCGCTATTTCTTAGAATTGCATGATATCCGTCGCTCCTAAAAAATTTCGACCGAGAGATCTAAAAACTACAATCTTAAAGCTTCAAAATGCTTTTTTTAATTCTCGACACGACCATTTTATAGTCTGTCAAAAATCATGGAAAAACTTTGGAAATTTTTTTGACCCTTTAATTATTCCTGTAGTAAAATTTTTTTTTTTAGTACTTTTTTATTACTGGTTTTAAGGATCTCAGAACCCGTGCTGATATTTAAAGTAGGTAAAGGTCTTTCGGTTTTTTACGCCGTGACCTATGTACCTGGTCATTGCCAGTTATAGAATTACGTGCCCTGCCCTTGTCGTTCTCGGGCTAAGCTCTATCGGGGTGGGCCTATGGGTTCTACTAGGGGGTCAGCCCCCGCTGAGCCTAGCCTGAGAACAACAAGGGCATGTCAAGGATTCTTAGCCACGGCTAGGCCATAGCATGACACCCCAAAAAGCCATCATGCTTTAAATACTTTTTTTTATCCATTTAGGTTATTTTGTCACACTGAAAACAAATTGAAGCATTTACTTGAAAAAAGGTACTAAACTAACGTTTAGTAGTCTGATAAAACTAACAAAACTGGTTTATTGTTATCTTCGTACAACAGTGTGAAAGGTATTATTATCGTGGAATGCAGTTTATGAAACAGGTATAATTTTATAGTCACCAAATGTGTTAGTATCTATCTCAAATTCGATTAAACTATTCAAAAATTTTAAGCAAAGAACCGTAATTAATTTTCAGCAAGTATTTGTTAAATTTGTCTGAATTGTTTTATTTTAACAATTTGTTTTTTTTTATTTGTGTATGTTCCTAAAAGGGTATAGCAGAGAGGCGGACATAATATAACTATTACGGGATCTTGCCACTTTTGCACGTTCGATACAAAAATATATATTTTAATGAGTGATATAACCTTCACTACACATTAAATTTGTGCTTAAAGAGTTCTAATTATTAGATTTGTATTTTAATATCATGATTAAAATTAATATTTCTCTGGCCAAATTTGCAAATCTGATAGATGTTTTTCAACCATGTTGATTTTTCGTCATAAAATTGGAATATGAGCAAATGCCAAGAATACAACTAACCTTACGTTGTACTGATATTTTTTAAATAAGCTTCCCTCACTTTTTGTCGTGTCCTTATGCCACTGAGGGCAACAATTGCCTCAATAGTGATTCCCAGTTTTAACCCCACTGACAAAATTCCATGTACATCATTGTAAGACATAGTCTATTTTTTTCCTTTTAGGGTTTTTCACTATTAGTGTCATCCCTATTTTCCCTATTAATCAAAATATGAAAGGATAAAAAAATGTTAGAAAAACATTTGGGGAAACTTTTTTAATATCTTCGTTGGAGAACTAATTAAAAAATGTCGCGTTACTGACTAAGTTTCTTTGTATCTCCATTACTTTAAAATGAAATGTTTTTGTTTTCTAATACCAGCTAATTACCTGCAAGGCAATTATCTTGATATAACCAAATTTTATTTTAGTCATAGGCTCCGATTTTAAAATAAAAAAAGAAGACCTTTAAAAAAATATATAAACATTTTTTGTTTTATCTTATTTTTAATTTATCATCTCTAGATACCAAATTCGAATAAGATATCTTTATTCTGTTGTAAAGGTTATAAGCTAATTCAATTTTCTTTTTTTTTTTTTTCGAAAAAATTTTATCAATTGAAGTTAAAAATGCTCTTCGATACCAGGTATGCAAAAAATATCAAACCTCCCATACAATACTCCTAACAGTTGATATTGCGGGAAACAACTATTCTATGAGCTACATGCCCAAACTAGCATTGAATTATACTTCGAATACCCAGTAAACAGCTAGTAATAAATAATTATCCAAATTAAAAATAAAAATGATGAGTGTAAATATAATTAATATAAAAAATACATACCTGATATAGAAATTGTTAAACAGTGTAGTCATTCAAGGAAATATCTTGTATTTTTGTTCTACCATATCAATGGTTAGTAGTTTTGTCTGTGAGGTTAGATATCTTTTGCATACCTACCTAGATTTCTGGTATCGAAGAACATTGTTTGACTTGATGACTTTGAGTTAGTAAGATTAAAAAGAAAATGAATGAATACCTTTATAACAGAATAAAAATACTAGAACTAATAGAGATAGGTATATATAATTTTTAAAAAGATATCTTTAAATTTGCTCAAGATATGGATATCTTGAGTAAATTTAGTTTTTTCTTACTTTAGCGTAATAATTAATTAAAAAAATATTTAAGATACATAAACTTTACCTTTTTAAGTACTTTTTATTTTATAGTAAGGTATTAAATTTCCGAAAAAATTTCTTTTATCTAGCTGTTAAGAAGGATTAATTTAGGAACCTACATACACCAATATTTTCACATTTGTTGAAAATATTCAGATCAAGTAATAATATACAGGATGTCCCGAAATTAATGCAAAAAAATGTGATCATAGATTCTTAAGACAAATTTAGGGGACTTGTATTTTTTATTTTTTCCAAGTGGTCCTCTATTTCTGAGTTACAACCCCCTGAAATCCATCCCTAAGAATAGTCATTTCAGAATGCTGTTGTACGAGAATCACAACTGATTAATTATAACTGTCAAAAAGTAAATTTGTTAATTGTGAACGCCAGCCACCCACGATTAACAGGTAGAATTTCATACGAATCACGATATGCATTCGATCACATTTTTCCATTTTCTCGAAAACTTTGCCTTCCACAAAAAAAAAATATTAAGCTACAAAAAAGTTCCTAAATTTTTAACCCTTTTTAACCCCTGTTTACCAAATTTAGTGATTCTCGTACAACACGATTCTAAGATATATGTATATAAAAAAAACTATTCATAGGGGCGGCTTTCAGGTGGCTGTAACTCCAAAAGAGGGCGCCACTTGACAAAAATAAAAACATACGTGTCTTAACAATCTGTGACC